AGCATGTGAAGAGAAAGAAAGGCCACATGGAAAGATCCACTGTATCTTATCCAACAGCAAACACTCTCTGCCTCCTGTCCCAGCTACATTCCCATTGAATGCAGCTGCATAAGCCAGATGACACCCCAGGAATCAAGGGAAGCAATGCCTAGTTTTTACTTTTTACTTTTTTTTTTTTTTCTGGTCTTTTTTGAGACAGGGTCTCCTTGTAGCCCCAGCTGTCCTGGAACTCACTATGTAGACCAGGCTGGCTTCGAACACACAGAGATCTGCCTGCCTCTGCCTCCCGAGTGCTGGGATCAATGGCATGCGCCGCCACGTCCGGCTAAATGTTTTGATTTTTTTTTTTTTTTTTTTTTTTCCTTTTGAGACAGGGTTTCCTTTGAGTCCTAGCTGACCTGAACTCGCTATGTAGACCAGGCTGGCCTTGAACTCACAAGGATCTGCCTGCCTCTGCCTCCCGAGTGCTGGGATTAAAGGTGTATGCCACTATGCCCGACTAGTTTTTACATTTTTATAATTGATTTTTTTCAGCAACTTTTGGGGTGATTGGTTATATAGGTAACTGAAATAGGGCTTACACATTTGGACAAAGAATAAACAATAACCATATATTCTCAAAAAGTGAACCACTAGAGAAGAAATGAAACACTGAAAATTCTTTAGGAAACCCTTAACTAATGCTTCATTTAATGTTATGGTTTATTTTTATGTATAGGAGTATTTTGTCTGCATGTACGTAGATGTATCATGTGTATGCAGTGCCTGAAGAGGCCAGAAGAAGGTAATGTAGTTATGAATGGCTGTTAGATACCATGTAGGTGTAGAGAACTGAACCCAGGTCCTCTGCAAGAACAGTCAATGCTCCACTTTTGTTTTTGAGCCATGTCTCCACTTTTGTTTTTGAGACAAGGTTTCACTGTCTAGCCCTGGCTGGCCTGGAACTCTATGTAAACCAAGCTGTTGTTGAACTAGGATCAATCTTGCTATTTCTGCCCTCTTATGTGATGACATGACAGATGTGAGCCACCATGACAGGCTGGTGGAATTTCAATTAGCTACAACCCCCTGCCCAAACACACACTACAACCCCCCCCCCAAACACACACACACACACACACACACACACACACACACACACACACACACACACACACTATAGAAAGCAGGAAATGATCACTGTAGCCAAACCTCTTTCATTAGTCCAAGGCTTTTGTAGTAGCTCCATGAAGTCACAGGGACCTAGATTCTATCTTCTTCCGTCCTCAGCATGACTTAAGGTTACTTTATTGTCATACAATGTTTGCTAGTACTCTAGCCATTCCCTTCACATTCTAGACAAGAAAAAAAAGGACAGACATAAGTGAGCTCGGTAATTTTTAGAAACTTTCTGATAAGCCCAACCAAAGAACTGCCACTAGCACTCACCAGAACGCTGTTACATGGACATGTCTATGTAGTTGGAATGAAAACTGGGAGCACTGCCCGTTATTGAGGAAGAAAGAATGAGGAGCAATCATTGTTGTGTCTGATACATGTACATATTAGCATGGGTATGTGTACATGCATGTGGAGGCCAGAGGTCAACACAGGGTATCTTCAATTGCTATTCACCTCAGTTTTTTTATATTTTATTATTTTTATGTAAGTATATTGCCTGCATGTATGTTAAGTGTACCCACGTCATGCAATGCCTATGGAGGTCAGAAGAGGGTGCTGGATTCCCCTGGAACTGGAGTTACAGTTGTTAGTTACCATGTGGGTGCTGGGAACTGAACCTGGGTTCTCTGAAAGAGCAGCCAGTGCTCTTAACTGTTGAAACATCTCTCCAGCCCCACAGCTTTTTTTTTTTTTTTTTTTTTTTTTTAAAGTGTGTGCAGGTATGTACCCCTAGCACTAGAGTTACAGGCAATTGTGAGCTGTCCGATGTGGGTGCTGGGAACCAAACTCAAATCTGAGTCCTCTGGAAGAACAGTATGGCCTCCTAACTGCTAGTCATCTGGCTAGCCTCACTGCCTTACTTTTTGAGACAACATCTCTCACTGAACCTGGAGCTTACAGCTCAACTAGTATGGCTAGTCAAAGAGCTCCGGGAGTCACCTATCCTCCCATCTGTGCTGGGGTTACAGATGTATACTGCTAGGTCCAGCTTCATGTAGATACTGGGGCTCAAACTCAGGTCCTCATGCTTGCACAGCAGGGACTTTACCTCCTGAGCCATCTCCCTGGCCAACAGTTTCGACTTGGACTGTATTTTAATTTTTTACACTGACTTTAGTGTGCATGGGGTGCACATGCAAGCTGTGTAGGAACTCCAGGGATGCAGCTTTTGCGGGACTTCCCCTGGGGTGAGCTTTTCAGTGATGTACCTGTCTGAGTCATTCAGGCTCCTGTAAGCAACGCTAATGAGCTGGTCCTCCAAGCTAGACTTGGGTAGACTTGTTTCTTTGATCTGTCATCTGTGCCCAGGAAAAGTAACACAACATTCACCTTTTTTTTTTTTTTTTAACGTTTTTACAATTTTATTAGAATTTCAAAGAAAAAGAAATCCTTAGGACAGGTGAGCTAGTAATCTTGGCAGCTGCCTTGAGGAGGAGGTCAGACACGTGACTGACTGGCAGCCCCATGGCTGGGAGAAAGACGCTTTAGAGAAAAAGTAAAGAAATGGAAGATGCTAGGGACAGCCCAAGGCCTTGAAGAAAGCATGCTTAGTAAGAAAGTCATGAAGAAAAAAAAGAGAAATTATGATTCCCTGAAGCGGGCAACTCACAGACTACATGGCTGTATGTAGGAAGTTCTAGTCCCACCTGTAGGCAGGATCCAGGCAGGAAAAATTCACTACCTCATTAACGCACTGTCTATTTAGCATGGCCCACCTTCCTAGGGTGGTCCTATGACCAGATGATTGACCAGTTAAACTTACATAAAATGGGAGGCCCTCACTAGGGGTATTACATTCCCCGCTGGTTCTGGGCGTAAGTCAAATCTTTGACTTGTTTTTATTTTGAGGCTCATATTGGGTCCTTAGAACCCTAATTTTGATGGCTTTTGGGCACCTCCTGATCTATCTGGTTAGGCAATTTAGGAGGCATGGACCCATAGTAAAGGCTGATAGGTAAATTGAATCAAATCGGGAAAGCACCAGGACACAGACAAAAACTCTGGCGGGACAGTTTATTAGCAGAGGAAAAGGCACAGGACAATTCCCCTTTAGGGAGAGAGGAGCTGTCGGTCTACAGGTTGTTGGCTGGGCGTCTTTATAGGGGGCTTCATGGTATGTGGAAGGTGGGAAAATTTTTTTAAAAATTCGGGGGGGGCTAAGGCTTATCAGGAGAGACTAGCCTCTGTCAACCTGCCCCCTTCCTGTCCTCTTCCATCAGCCAGGATCTGGGTCAAAAGGTATAAAGAGTCTGTTTATCCTTTAAGATCATCAAAGAGGGAGCATGCCGTGCTGAAGCAGCTCCTTACAGTAATTGGGTCTTGGGTCAAAAGGTGTAGAGTCTGTTTATCTTGTCTTGTGGATGGTCAGGGTGCTCATTAACTCAGTTCCTGCATTCTCAGGGGGCCTGTAAAACCGTGAGACCCTGCTGCATTGGGGGTTGCTGTAGATCTGAACCCTAACAAAGGCTAGGAGGAGTATTACCAGAGGCCCAGTAAAACGCAATTACACCTGAATTATTGGCGTAAAAACAGCAAACCTCACCTAAGGCCACATATGAGCCATCTTCCTTTAGGAACAGTAAGTCTATCTCCCTGCTGTTCTGTAGCGCCATTTTAGCTAGGGAGTTAGCCTGTCTCTCCAACTGCCAATGGGAGTCCTGTAGTCCAATGTCTCTGTCTATCTAAGAGCTTAGAAGCCTAAAATTTTATTACTTGTAGCTAGTGTGGTGGCACCCAAGGCATCAGAACCTGCAATGCCTGTTTTCACAAGGATACTGGCAGGCCTTCTCTTGGTTAAGGTGAAGTGTTTCCGCCCTTTTTCTCAGCTATAGAGATAAACCTGACACCCAGTTTCCTAAACCAGAAACCTGCAAGCTTACCTGTACTCCTTATATCACATTTCAAGACAAATCAATTACCAAGTACAACACTCAGCAATAAATTACATATTAAGCACCTACTATGTATCATATATTATTCTAGGCACTGTGGACAAAGACTAAGTGGCTTTTTTTTTTTAATTAAAAAAAATTTTTATGTGTGTGCATGTATTGCCTGCATGTAGGTCAGTGCACCCATGTTGTGCAATGCCAGCGGAGGTCAGAAGAGGCTGTTGGATCCCCTGGGACTGGAGTTACAGACAGTTGTTAGCTGCCATGTGGGTGCTGGGATTCGAACCCGGGTCTTCTGCAAGAACAACCAGTGCTCTTAACTGCTGAGTCATCTCTCCAGCCCCAGCTTTTTCTTTTTAAGACAAAGTCTCACGTGTCTTACCTGGCCTTGACTCACTATGTAAGCAAGGATGACCTTGAACTTCAGAGTTTCCTGTTAGGATTGCTGTTTTTGTCACCAACAAGACATTTATGTGATGCTGGAGATTGAATCCATAATTAAGTAATTATTCCTCAGGCCACTTTCTTGAACTCTTTATACAAATACACATATCCTATATGATAGGATAGGATATAAGGTTTATTAGTAAGCACAATTCAGGGGTTAGAGGAACATAGTAGAAGCCTCAGAAGTGCTGAACTGCACTTCCGTTGTCCAGTTCAATGACAATCCCCAATTGGGGATAGATTTGACCTCACAGCCAGAGACGAAGCATGTCTCCATTACCAAGTCTTCAAATTCATTTGCATTAAACTTGGTAAACTTTTTTGAGACATGGCTCTTCTGGCAGCCAGGGAACTTGAACTTGCCCCTATGCAGAGGCTTCATCTTATTCTACAGCTTGATGTAGATGGACATAGTGACCCTGGCCCTCAAGTTTTCTGTATATACCTTTTGAGCCTAAACTGGGGACAGCATGAGATCAGAGATAGGAACCCCCATGGAAAGCTCATCTCCTAAGTCCTTTAGGGTAACCCATTCAAGCAACAATCTGTGTGCGTCACCAAGGAGGCTGTTCTTGGCAGTCACTGTATAACCGGCTCCAGTAAGGAAAGAAATCAGCTGAACTTACTTTTAAGATAATTTTTTTTTATTTGGGGCTAGAGAGATGGCTCAGCAGTTAAGAACACTGGCTGTTCTTGCAGAAGACCCAGGTTCAAATCCCAGCACCCGTAAGGCAGCTGACAACTGTCTGTAACTCCAGTTCCAGGGGATCTGAGAGCCTCTTCTGTCTTCCACGGGCATTGCATGACATGCGTGCACTTGCTTACATGCAGGCAATACACACATACACAAAAAATAAAAAAAAAATATTTTTTAAGATTTATTTCATGTATATGAGTTTCTTGCCTACATGTAAGTGCACCACAGGCATGCAATGCCCACAGAGGCCAGAAGATGGCATCAGATCCCCTAGAACTGGAATTAAGGATAGTTATAGCCACCATGTGGATGCTGGGAGCTAAACCTGGGTCCTCTGCAAGAGTAGCAAGTGCTCTTAACCACTGAACCATCTCACCAGCACCTTTTGAGATTTTTAAATTTTTATTTCATGTGTATGAATGTTTTGCCTGTATGTATGTGTACCATGTGCATATCTGGTGCCCACAGTGGCCAGAAGAGAGCACCAGATCCCCTGGACTCGGTGTTACAAGTGGTTGTAAGTCTCTGCAAGAGCAGCAAGAGCTCTTAACCACTGAGCCATCTCTCCAGCCCCTGAAATTCACTTTTATGGATATTTATTATTAAATATTTATTATTAAAATCATCTTTTTTACCTCTGGTCTTTTTGTTTTTTAAAATATTTTACTTATTATTTTTTAAATTTTATGTATATGCATGTATTACCTGTGTGCAGGTAAGTGCACCTGTGTCGTGTGATGCTCGCAGAGGACAGAAGAGGCTGTTGGATCCCCTGGAACTGGAGTTCAGACAGTTGATAGCTGCCATGTGGGTGCTGGGATTCAAACTCGGGTTTTCTGCAAGAACAACCAGTGTTCTTAACCCCTGAGTCATCTCTCCAGCCCCTCCTCTGGTCTTTTTGAAACAGGGTCTCCCTGTAGACTAGGCTGTCCTTGAACTCAGAGATCTACCTGTCTCTGTCTCTGGAATGCTGGGACTAAAGGTGTGTACCACTACACCTGGCAAATTATTTTTCTTATACAATTAAAAAATATATTATTTTTATTTTATGTGTATGAGTGTATTGCCTGCATGTATGTGAGTGTACCCGTGTCATGCAATGCCTCAGAGGTCAGAAGAGGGCTTCGGATTCCCCTGGAACTGGAGTTAAGGACAGTTTGTAGCTGCCATGTGGGTGCTGGGAATTGAATCCAGGTCCTCTACAAGAGCAGTCAGTGCTCTTAACTGCTGAGCCATCTCTCCAGCCCCTTTCTTATACAATTTCATTCCATTATCCCATTGATAAATTCTATTAGCTTTACCTTCAGAATATGGCCATCATTTTCTTTCTTTCTTTGTTTTTTTGGTCTTTTTGAGACAGGGTCTCCCTGTAGCTGCAGCTGGCCTGGAACTCACTATGTAGACCAGGCTGGTGGCCATCATTTTCTATCAGTCCTAGTATTTACAGATATGGAAACCAAAAATACTGTGCTTAAACATTTATTTACTTGGGAGTTTCTCTCTTATGTAAGTACTATGTTTGTTTTAATAGAATTAAATCTTAAGTCATTGTTCTAGTTAACTTTCCATTACTAAAAGCCAGGCATGGTATCCCACACCTTTGATTCCAACACTCAAGAGACAGAAGCAGGTAGATAGATCACTTTGTGTTCCAGGTTAGTCCGTCTACACAAGGAGTTCCAGACCAGTCAGGGTTATACAGTTGTATTAGTCATTTTTCTGTTGCTGTGATAGAAATACTGACCCGAGCCACTTAGAGAAGAAAGAATTTATTTGAGCTTATGGTTCCAGGGGAATTACAGTCCGTCATGGCAGGGAGGCATGGTGGCTGGAGGTGGCTGGAGCAGGAGCAACAGAAGCTAAGCTCTCACATCATCACACAGGCACAGGAAGTAAGAGAGCGACTGGAGATCTGGCAACGCTTAAGAACTCTCTAAGCCCACCCCCAGTGACGTGCTTCCTCCAGGATAGCAACACCTTCTAAGACCTCCCAAAACGGCACCACCATCTGGGGACAAAATGTCCAAATACTTGGAGCCTATGGGGGACATTTTCATTCAAACCACCACAATAGTGAAACGGTGTCTCAAAAATGAAGAACAATACGAAACAAAAAAACCTTCAAAAACCCAAAAACTTTTCATTACAAAGCAAACAACAATAAAACAAGAGAAAATGTAGTAATTAAATTAAGATTTTTTGGTTCATCATTTTACAGATTCCAACCCATGCTTAACTGCCCTACTGCTCTGGGACTCATAGGAGGGAAGCACACTGGTGGCAGGGCCTGCTCACCTCATGGCAGCCAGAAGTGAGGGGCAAACAAGGGGCCACATCTAGCATCTCCTTCAAAGACATGCACTTGACCCCAATTCCCTTCCCCCAGGCCCTACCTCCTGAAGGTTCTACCACCAATGGTGCCACTTACTTGCTGAGGACCATGCCTTTAACAAATGGACTCTGGGGACGTTCAAGATCTAGGTTTTCAAGTTTCCACAGTAAACTTAGAAAAACCTTCTTTCCATTCCTCCTTGCTAAGAGAATCCTGTTTTCAGAGTATTCATGTGCTCCTTCCCATGGACACACCACAGCAAACTTCCCCTTTCCAATACTTGCTTCTCTAGCTTCCTTTAGAACTAAGAATGGTTTTGACCAATGGGAGATAAAAGAAGTCAACTGAGGGGAGGTTTCTGATGTTTTTCCCTTCCTGATGGAGAGTGACTGCTCCTCTAACAGTACCATTTTACCACCCCACCCCTTTCTTTTTAAAAAACAAGAACTCATCATATTGCCTAGGCTGGTCTCAAACTTATGATCTTCCTGTCTCAGCCTTTTAAGAAACTGAGGTTAAGGTGTGTACCACTATACCTGGCTGAGGAAAGCCTCCAATGAGACCTTCTGCTAGCCACATCATCATGCCCACTGGACTGAGATGCCTAGACCATAGGGGCAGGTGTGGTGGTGGTGCTCTTTGTAACTTCTATATTAGCTGTCCTGTTTCATCAGTAGATCATGGTACTATGCTTGAGTGTTTTCTGACAGAATTACAAGATTTGCTTCAGATTCCTGTCAAAGAGAATAGTTTGGGAAGGAAGATGTAGGATAAAGAAGTATAGTTTCGGGTGTGGCGATGGCTCAACAGCTAAGACTGGCTGCTCTTGCAGAAGACCTGGGTTCAGTTCCCAGGCCTACATGGTGGCTAATAACTGTCCATAATTCCAGTTCCAGGGGATTCAACACCCTCCTCTGGCCTCCATGGGCACTGCATGCATATGGCACATTTACATACATGTAGGCAAAATACTCAAACACATAAAATATAAGAATATTAAGAGTTTTCATCTGTATTAAGTGTGAAAATAAAATTCAGCTCCTTTTGTTGTTTAAAAAAAAAAAAACACTTAAGAGGCTGGAATGTAGCTCAGTTGGTAGGATGCTTGCCTAGCACGCATAAAGCCCTGGTTCCAATCAGCACTGCATAAACTAGATTTGGTAACCTACACCTGTAATCTCAGCACTCAGAAGGTAGAGAGAGAAGAATCAGCAATTTAGCATTATCCTCGGCTGTACAGAGAATTTGAGGCCAGCCTGGATTAGACTCTGTCTCCAAAAAAAGTAAGTTAATTAAGCTGAGAGTGTGAGTTCATGCTTATAATTCCAACACCTGAAAGTTGGAAGCAAAAGAATACCATGAGTTTGAGGCTAGCCTGAAATATATAGTGAGCTCCAAACCAGGCTAAGCTACAGAGATCCTGCTCCACCTCCAAAAAGGCACAGCATCTTACTAATAATACATAAACTGGAATCTAATCTAGTCAGATCAGCTTCTCCTACTTTTTTTTTTTTTTTGGTTATTTTGAGACAGGGTCTCTCTGTAGCCCCAGCTGGCCTAGAACTCACTATGTAGACCAGGCTGGCCTCCAACTCACAGAGATCTACCTGCTTCGGCTTCCCAAGTGCTGGGATTAAAGGCATGCGCCACCATGCCCCACTTTCTTCTACCTTTTTAAAAATATTTTATTTTATTTTATTTTATTTATTTATTTATTTATTTTTGGTCTTATTGAGACAGGGTCTCCATGTAGCCCCAGCTGTCCTGGAACTCACTGTAGACCAGGCTGGCCTCGGACTCACAGAGATCTGCCTGCCTCTGCCTCCCAAGTGCTGGGATTAAAGGCGTGCGCCACCATGCCAGGCTTATTTATTATTTTTAGTTTTATGTGTATATGAGTGTATTGACTGCATGTATGTGAGTGCACCCGTGTCTTGCAATGCCATGGAGGTCAGAAGAAAGCTTCAGATTCCCCTGGAACTGAAGTTAAGGACAGCGTGTAACCACCATGTAGGTGCTGGGACTCAAACTCGGGTCCTCTACAAGAGCAGTCAGTGCTCTTAACCGCTGAGCCATCTCTCCAGCCCTCTTCTACCTTTTTAAAAAATTTATTTTTATTAGTACCAGGGTTTTGATTTGCCAGTATGTTTACTGGTAGTGCCCTCAAAGTCTGAAAGAGGGCAGCAGAGCCACCATGTGGATGCTCGGAATTGAATCTGGGTCCTCTAAAAGAACAGCAAACGCTCTTAACCCCTGAGCCACCTCTCCAGTCCTGACATTAGCTCCTTTTTGAAATGGGCAGTGGTGGCTGGGCGTGGTGGCACACTCCTTTAGTCCCAGAACTCGGGAGGAAGAGGCAGGTAGATCTCTGTGAGTTCATGGCCAGCCTGTCTACACAGTGAGTTCCAGGCCAGTCAGGGAGACCCTGTCTCAAAAAAAAAAACAAAAGGAAAAAAAGAAAGAAAAGAAACGGGCAGTGGTTAATGCAGAGACTCGCAACCCTTCACAGGGCTGAGAATAAGTGTTTGTTGAGTGCTTTAGGCCTAAATGGGACATCTACATCAACTACCCTCCAAAGATTAGGGAGGAGGCAGAAAGAATAC